ACGAAAAGCGCGGTCATGCTAGACGGAGAACTGTCAAAATTCTTCGACATTGAGCAGGGGGTCCCACAAGGTTGTACGCTGTCCCCAACATTGTTCCAGGTGTTCGTCAACGATCTGCTGGAGGTCGTAGAGGCAGTCCGGAAGGAAGTCAAGGTCGGGGACACGGAAGCGTCGGTGGCAGGAATGCTGTTTGCGGATAATATTGTCGGTATGTCGGACACCCTTGAGGGACTGCAACTGCAAATTGACGCGGCGAAGAAGTTTACTGATAAGTGGAGATTGTCTGCCAACGTTAAGAAGAGTGCCGTCATGGTATGCAACGAGAACAAGGAGGAACCAGTAGAACATAGATGGAAGTGGGGGATCGAGGAGATTGCAGTAGTGGACCAGTACACATACCTCGGAGTAGAGATCGCAAAAGACTGCTCGTGGAATGCACACATGTCCAAGGTAGCGGAAAAGGGCAAAGCACGAGCAGGGAAGCTGCACCCAATACTCGCAAACCGGCACCTCGATACACGCATCAAATTGACGGTTTTGAAGAGCGTAATCGTACCGCCGCTAGAGTACGCCGGAGAAGTATGGGAAGGAAATAAGAAGGTAGTGAAAGAACTCGAGGCGGCGCAGATGAAAGCAGCGAAAATCATCCTTGGGTGCTCCAAGCGCACAAGTAATGCAGCTGTCAGGGCACAATCGGGGACCCAATCCCTACGGTCGGGAAGAGACGCGAGGAAGCTGACCTGGCAGTATCGCATGTGCGGGATGGGAGAGGAGAGGTTGCCGAGAATTGTATGGGAGGCGAAGTGGGCAAACAAAAAGAGGGGTAGACAACCCACGGAATGGGTCAAGGTTGTAGAGGACGTATGGAAGGGTCTCGACATCGACGAAGATGAAACGCTGGAAACGGAGGGTCTAAAGGGGTTCAAGGACAAGATATCTGTTGCTCGTGCCGAGAGAGCAGAACATAATCGAAGGAAAGAAGTCAAGGATAAGGAGTCAAACCTCCAATGCCCTAGCAGCGATTTCTAGGTTGGTGCCGTACGGTGAAGGTGGGAAGTGGAAATGATGTTCAAAGATCATGAACGATTTTGTTGTANATCGCATGTGCGGGATGGGAGAGGAGGGGTTGCCGAGAATTGTATGGGAGGCGAAGTGCAAACAAAAAGTGGGGTAGATAACCCACGGAATGGGTCAAGGTTGTAGAGGACGTATGGAAGGGTCTCGACATCGACGAAGATGAAACGCTGGAAACGGAGGGTCTAAAGGGGTTCAAGGACAAGATATCTGTTGCTCGTGCCGAGAGAGCAGAACATAATCGAAGGAAAGAAGTCAAGGATAAGGAGTCAAACCTCCAATGCCCTAGCAGCGATTTCTAGGTTGGTGCCGTACGGTGAAGGTGGGAAGTGGAAATGATGTTCAAAGATCATGAACGATTTTGTTGTAATGGTACCACAGCAATTAAGCAGCAGCCGCATGCGCGGTTTCCGTCAACTAGCGGGCAAACGCAACACACACCGAAAAACAATGGGGGCTTTGAAGAGAGTTTGTACCAATTATCGTAGGGAGTGAGGCAAGAATTCCGACAAAGGAAGGATCACGATCTCTAGACCATCCGCAGATACCAGAACACCGCGAACCGGAAGCCTCTCGGGCATCCTTGTCAGTTATTTTTTCTTGAGACTGCCGCGTACGATCCTTGCCTTTAGTCTTGGTGTGACATGACACGCAACAAACTGGTGCTCCACGAAAACAACAAGCGTTGTACGCAAACAGTTGTACGTCAGATGTTGGCCGTCGTTTGAACGAGGCTGAAGAATACAGGAAAAATTGTACCTTGGACAAGAGCACCGAACTCTTCGCTGTGGCGCGTTGTTTTACAGCAGGAGTTCTCGCTGCTGCTCTTCGGGAGTAAGACTGTGCTCGGGACGTTTTACGAAGGAACCAACAGGATGACACAACATACCGCATAAAGCACGTTCGAACTCGAATGACCCGGGTTCAATTTGCGTGAAATACGCCGCCGACTTTTTCGCCACACACAAACGGCTCAGAAATCAACTTTACCTCACATACCACCGGTCGCCCCGGTGGTCTAGTGGTATCCTCGTAATCCGCTAGTCGCAGACGTCGTGAGTTCGCGAATCCGCATGGGGTGAAAAGTTTATGAAATTTGAGGGTGAAAGCGAAACATTGCTAAAAAAGCGCTCGTGAGTACCAAACTTCGACGTTAGCATCGTTGACGAGGGAAAGGGACGGCTGGACCCTTCTCTCGATTAAAATAAAATTCAGGACGCACCGCAGGAGAACGGTGGGGTATGAAAAAAAAAAAGGAGGAAAAAGCCCTGGTGTTTACCCCCTTCGGTGTGACCCTGGACGGTTGTAGTTGTACGAAAAAGTACACTGAAAAGTGCAGGACTCTACATACGCTGAAAAGTGTAGTACACGTCTCACCACGAAAAATAGGGGGACTGTCGCCATAATAAATAGGACGAAAACACACACACACAGTTTAGCCTACCCCATGCTGCCCCAAAACGGGGTCCCAGTTCATGGTAGATGGGAGTGTTTTGTGTTTTCAACCGCACTAAGACTGACGTCTTCTCATTGGTCAGACGGTTAGCGCGGTCGATGCAAATAATCAAACACACATACAAAACACTACCGGTCACGCTGATTGGCAGCCCCGTTTATAATAATAATAAGAGGGTAGTCAGCGCAGGCCAGCGAAGAGATCGGGCGACCAGGTGATGCTGTAATTGAGAGGATGGTGATGCCGGAGTCGTGTACAGCAGTAGTGACGTCCTGACCGACACAGTGATGGGCACACAGCAGTGGCGCTTCGGTGTTTATCTTCTCGTCGGGCTTCCGAAGACAACAAGTCTCATGTATCTCACCAAAAACCAACCACAGCGTGCTATCTACCATGTTTTTCACATCTTCCCCAAGTGACCTGCGACGCCTTTCACCAGCTCAGGGCAATGCAAGGGCCTGCTCTCACCTGGTCGCGGAAGACGTGCTGCAATCAGACTCTTGCCTGTTGTGTCCCAAACGAACGGACCCCTGCCGAGGCATGGCACCACCTCCATCTCGGCACATTGTTGGCACACCTATTTGTTGGAAAGGCCAGCGGAAATGCTGGACCGAATGAGACGATGCCGCCGCCGGCTGCATTGCTTGCTGCTGTTGTTGCAGCTCCTGCGGTCTGGGGTGCCGTACTGCTGATTGATGAAGTCCAACCGGTTGCCCAGTCCCTGGCACCAGGAGTCAGCTTGTGGTCCTCGACTCTGAAGGCCTACCTCCAGTGCCCCGGAACGGTTGGCATTGCTGTGTTGTGTGTGTAGATGTTGCTGCAGCAGCTGCTGCTACTGCGGTGCTGTGTGCTGTGTTGTTGTTGTTGTTGTTTCTCACATTAGCTCTAAAAAAGAAAGATTGGGAGTCCGTGGTCTCAAAACACGGCATACACGACCCCACGAAGAAACAGAAAAAAATAGGGTACAAAAACCTTTCTTCGCTTCGTGCTTGTTGGTTGGCGTACAGATAGCACCGCTGGGGCAGAAAGTCTCCTACCCGCATTCCGCTTGCCAGGCTGATGACCAGCCTGTCTTGGGTTCCCGCCGTGACTCCTACGCCGAGGATCAACGGGGTGATTCCCCTCGGACTCTGCTTTTTGCCGTTCGTCTTCGGCAATCGCGCGAGCTTTACGGGCCGATGCCTCCCTCCTCGCCTCGCCCTGCTGTCTGTAGTAATCCTCCTCCTCGAGCTTGCTCTCAAGATTGGGTAGACCACCACCCGTGACACCAACAGAGGGCCTCTTCCTGCGTTTCCTGCCCGACCGGGATTTTCCTCCCGTCCGACGGACGCGTGCACCGGAATCTCTCGCGTCGCGCTTTGTCGCGGCGGTGGGGGTGCGCACCTCAGTGGTTAAGTTGCCCTCTCTCCCGCTCCCGATCCGTGCACGTTCACTTGTTATCTCTCCCCCTGAGTTGTCGCCACTGGAGTACGCGGGGTTAGCGTGCCTTCCGTAAGCTGTCGAAGGTCTCATGCTGGCTGCATACCCCCGCTTCCGGGTGTAACAGAGCTCCTAGGCTGGTTCGGAGGCGTAGCCGGTGGCGTAGCCGGTTGAGCTCCTGCGGGGTTGTTAGCCCCACCAGCCCGGTTGCCCCGCCTACCTCTCCGACGGGTCATCTGTCAGCACGACCTGTGCCGGCCGTTATCCCATGCATTGAATACCTGGCCATGGTATACAACCAAAAATTACAAAAGGTCACGTGACACGTACAGCCTACGCAGGCGCACACCTACGCTATGTCTGTGGTTCTATCGTTGTCTCTTGACAGCCATGTGTTAGAAATATCAGTATCAACTGATAAAGACTGCTGTTATACGTATTCTCTTGAGTACAACACAGTATACGATGTCACATACATCATGAGCGATTTCAGCAGCCTATAAATTTTTGTGGCGGCCGGACTGTATCGAGCATTTCCATTTTTTCTTTGGATGGGGGTCGTGTATCCAGTGGACTAAACATGCGCAACATGCGAGAGCGTGCGTTCGAACCCCCCGACGTAGGCTCTCCTGAAATTTGAGTTTTGAACACACCATGCTTATTTTCTAACGCACTAAATCACCTCAAACCTTTTGCATTAGGTGGAAATGAGACCTAGGTATACGTCTTCAGCATAATTGGGCTGCAACACGCCAAGCTTGCGCAGAGGTCGGCTCGCGTGTGATGCTTCCTCGTGGATATTGGTGCTGCCGCAGTGTGGTATGCTCTAGCTAAAGTCTGAATTTCTCACCCTACCATGTGTACCTGGGCGTATAAAACATACCCTGATGTGCCCTTGCATCGTGTTAACATACCTCTCGAGTTTTCTGGGCAGTTTAGCCTCTGGTTCGCCCTCTAGAGCCCGTGCTGGGTGTGGAGGTCTGTTGCGCCGCGAGCCGCCTGATCCGAGGGGTTTCCACAGGGGGCTGCTTTCCCGTTGGAAGCGTTTTTTCTCACACTTACTTTTTATTTTTTTCAGTCGTGCAGCACTGCCAGACCCACATAAAAGGCCCCGGCCAATGCCCCGGCAAATTCCCCGCTTTGACCCTCGGCCCAGCTCCTGCGGCCAAACGGCAATAAAAGAAATATTTTGGAGGAAGGGGGCACACCGGCACTTGGCACGCATTGCTTCCTACAATCATTCCCTTCACCATCTCCCACAGGTATGAACTAATTCCCACGAAAGCTGGTATTGCAGTATACTTCAAACGTTTTGCAGCAGACTACAAGACTTAGTACTGCTGGATGTGTGAGATAGAGCTTTCGCTCTATCCTGCTGGCGGCACATGAGAGTACCACGGGAGATTTCACACATTAGAGGACCACGGGAGATTACACACGATGATGCCACTAGCATCGCTCGAATTCGCTGGAATAATTTTTCACCATCCCAATCTCCGATCAGCGGTAGGCTCCAAGCTCGTGGCACCCTGGTGCTCGCACCTGGCAATCACAACGGTACACAGCAGCCTGCAGCAGCTAGAGCCTGCAGCAGCTAGAGCCTGCAGCAGCAGGGCGGAAGCGCACTCAAGACGGGCTGAGTTAGTGTTGTTTTCGTCCGATGAAGAATCGAATCCTTCTGCCGACGACTGTTTGCCAAGCACACTCGTTTTCCTCATCCGCGCCTGCGCACGTCGTTGCTGCTTCTGGCACTACTCACAGTGCGTGGGTGCTGATCAAACAATGCCTTTGTATGTAGTGCTAGACTACTGTACCTGTTTTGAGTTCTGCTCCCGCGAGTGTACTGCTGTAGTACCGTTGTGGAGACGCACAACGTTTGCTCGTTGTTAACGCTTCGGAAAAGTCGTGCAATTTTCCACGCAACTGTGAAAAGAAAACCTGACTTTTTTTCGCTTGTCCTATTCGTGATGTCATCCAAAAAGTACGTTTCCTTCCCTGAATACACGCATTGCTTGGCACACAACAGGTTGACTTGGTGTTGCTCACCGTAGAGCAGTGGTGAAAGCGCTATGAGCAGCAACCGACACAGAGGACAACACACTTCGAAAGATCCTATCCACCCGGCCTGCTGCTTTCAGTTTTCTGCAACAACAGGCGCAGGGCAGATTGACGCAGCCTGGGTGTTGCTTTCGATTTCTTCAGTTCGCCAGCTCATTTTTCACGGTTGCGACTCCCATCTTTAACCATCAACTACCCAAAGGAAGACGAGCTCAACAATCATTGGGCGGCAGCCGCGCTGACGGCCAGCATCATGTACATGGCCAATCCGAAAGAACTAGCATGTCGGAGGCCCTGTTGCTCTTCTGCTGCGTCGTGCTGTGGATTGATGTTGACGAGTCCGACCAAGAACAGATAATCTCGCCGCATTTTTTCCAACGGCATTTTGGTGAGGTGGCACACGTCTCTCACACACCTTATTGAGCAGCACCCAAGCACCCAATACCCACGAAGCAGCACGGCGCCGGGAGATGGTATCATATAGACAGCCGAACCGAATGAATCAGCGCGTTGGAGGTCTTGGTGCTGCTGCTGTACTCGTTCTACTGTTTCCGTGTTTGCTATGAGTGAAAAAATTCCCCAGCACCAACAGCAGCAGTTGAAGACGAGAGCACCACGCAATCTCTAGTTTTGGACCAAGAACTGACTGAACGCCGCTTCTGCCGCTTATCCATCTCCACAACAGATCAAGATGTGAGTCTGGCAGGTCTTTCTAGCGTTCTCAGTCGCGGTGCGCTTGTCCGAAGTGCGCTTGTCCGATGCTTCTGTCACGGATCCGTTAAAGTAGCAAGCCCAAAAAATCCCGGCTCCTTCTTTTCATATTTCCGGGGAAAAACGCCTGCATATATGTTCAAGAAACAACGATTCCGTAAAATGTTCCGTGATTTTTTGTCGTTAATGATACCCCTTAGAGCCGATATATTTAGAAAGAATGTTGAGATTCGACAGCTCCCGCCAGCCTTCAATCAGGAGGTTCATTTATTCTCTGTGAGCGCTATTGTGAGCTATACGTGATCGCTGAGACGTATGATCGTCGGGCAACACAGCTCTTCCTCGCTCCCAGTCGTCCGGGTTTCTTAAACCTCGATGAGCAGTCATGTCATCGTCGGAATCGCCCGAGACGCATTCACGCGACCGCTTGCACCTGTACATACAGTAGTCTGGTCTTACAATTAATTCACGACTGACACCACCACTCGTCCAGCTCACCGGAACCTCTGGGGCAATTTTTTTTCGCGCCGCGCTGAAACCACTTTTGTTATGCACTCCCAAATAAGACGTAGACTTGAGAGACTCCGCGTCCCATGGAATAATTCTTGTCCACATAGTACTGTAAGCCTAACGCCCTCTCCTCGGCAACATGATGGGCATATTTCGCAAGTGTAAGCCCGAGAGGATATTGGTTTGACTACATACGTCGCCAGCAACACAACGCCGGCACGACAGCGACTCAACAGTATTCCTTGGTAGACCATCTTGACGGCAGCCTGCTCTGATTCCTTGCTGTACCTGATCTCCAGCAAACATGCTGGTTCTACTGTAGCTTTCCCTGGCAGGAATGGTTGAGATACCCCGGAGTAGTCTTGCTGTAAGCTCCCATTGTTTTGTCTAGTTGTATCATAGACTTCATAGACAATAGTTGCAATACCGCCCGCGCGGTATTGTCCGGCTGATGAAAATTCTTCTCCACATCAGCTGGGTGCGATCCATGAAAGTTCGTAGAGAGTTTGCCGTGTTTCCGCTGAAAGGATCAGGAGGACAGATCGGGAGAACCACAGTGCTTACCCGTAGCCCTCAAACCCTATCCCTAAGCCTACCCCATGCCCAACGAAGCTGCGACGTTGGTTCGGGTGATACTGTTATATAGCTTCCACAGACTACTGTACTGTAGGTCGCCCCTTGGTGTTAAGTGTAGAGAACAGTTGCTTTGGACGGACTACGCGGCGGCCGTTGTGTCGGGTAGAATCGGTACATCTCCATTTAGAATCTTCGCTCGGCCATATACCAAGTTCTGTTTATCGTCCGATATTCGGTAAACCTCCACATACAGATGGCGTCGTGGAAGACGTTTGTTCGATGCCGCGTTTGTACCTTAAACCGACACACCGTAAGGTTGCGTGGAAGATGTCATCCCCATCTGTTCTGGACGTAAGACGTCACGCATCGGGTCATTAACAACCGGGGTCGTCTCAGGGAAAGACCCCACAGGACAGTACGGTGCAGGCACTCATTCAACTCGCCGGAAATGGAAGTCAAGCAGGGCTCGCTTGCTAAATCGACCATCGTGTGTGTTGTTCACCACCTCAACGATGAACTCGTCCTCACGTGGGTTCGTTTTCCGAGGGTACGTAGATATCAAGGCAACGTACATTCTTGTGAAGATGCGACTGTTTGGAGTGCTGCTAGCAGCGTCATGGGCGATCATCGCAAGTGAAGCTTCGTCGAGGCTGGACGTGATCGATTTGCCGACAGGGTTCTTTCCGGAAGGCATCACCAACGGCGAAGGATGGACAGCCTTCGTGGGCTCATTGTTAAGTGAGAGCTCCACTATATTCCGCATTGACGTAGCCTGTGATTTCATGTTGCTCTTGACGAATCTACTTCATTTCCCGATCGGTTCATTTTGGTGATTATCGACACACGGTCTAGAAATTGGTTCGTCATATCCCGGGAAAAATGTTGCCACTTGAGCGACTGGACGTATGTATCCGATTCGCTCAGTAACTGCGGAGGGTACCAGATCGCGTATGCTTCCCCTCCATCAATCCAGGAGCTGTTCGCTCCCCCTGCCCTCCTTAGCACTGGTCCGTCCCACCTTTGTCAGTATTCTAACAACTACGGCATGCACGGCTACGAGTGTACCTTCCTTCGTACGCCATGCCAGCGTCTGGAGGCATTGTGACCCCATCGCGCTCCCTTGGCCTGTACTGGCGAGGTTCCAATAACGAACTCTCCATCTGTGCCGTCGGGCACACCAACATCGCAATATCGCACATCGACGAACTATAATGGCCCATCAATCAAGTTGATGTTGGCTCGGCTTATTTCGCTTTCGACCAATTTGGTTGAGACGGGCGGGTTTTTCCTCGAACGTCTCACGCTTTGTCTCAGCGTTCCTTTATGTTGAAGACTAAGGAGTTGCCCTTTGTTTGTTCATCCCGTGGGTGATCCAGATGGGAACATCTGGAAGGGGGATCTCGAAACCGGCCAGGGCGAAGTGTTTGAGCTTGGCGCTCCGGGCCCCGCCGTAGGCCTGGACCACGACCGCCGATCTGGCTACCTTTTCGTCGCTGGGGGACCTGTAGGTGCGCCACCATACTATTGTGTGTTGTAAGCTCTGCTCTGTCCAATGGTTCTTCATTCCAGTGGCTGTTGATCGATTGACGATGGTCTGTATCTTACCTTTCGAACTCTTGAATCCATGCGATATCATAGGATAAAATGAACGAAAGCACCATAGAACGAAGGTGGAGACAAATAGCAACTCTGGCTGTGAAATTCTTTTTTGGGAGTCGGGTTGATACAGAGCGTTCCACAAGGTATAGAAACTGAGGTTCAGCATGAACATCGCAACACATGTGTCCATGCGGCACCGTCAAGTATATTGACACCGAGGTATTAGTTCTGATTTGTGCACACGTTCCTTCGTTGGGGTTGGCATGGAGCGAATGAATCCAGGCGAAACAAATAACGTTTGCATCACTCCCTTCATGGTCTGCAGCTTGCGTCCTTCGTCTGGCACACTGTCGTGAGGCTGGGTGATATGCTGACCTCTTCGGGCAATATTGCTACATGGCTGCATGAGGGCTGATTCGGTCGCGGTATCTTGGCTGCGTAAATATTAACCACCCAAACAGCGGATACTAGTTTATACAAGCTTGGCTTAACACATAATTGTGAGAGTTGGACGAAACGTGACGGAACAACTCGAAATCGGCACCATTGCGGGCGGGCTCTGTAACCGCGAGCGAACCAAGGCCCTTCGCGAGGGTATGAATTAGAACCACCATGTCTCCCCTTATGTCTCGTTTTCGTGTCTCGTCTGACTAACGCACTTGAAACCTATCAGGCACGGCACGCGTGTACGATGAGGATTTCGCTTTGGTCGCAGATCTGGTCCTGAGTGACGGCAACTCGTCATTTGTGAATGACGTCATCATCACCAAGACCGCCGCATACTTCACGGATTCTTTTCAACCGAAGATATACAAGGCAAGGCAACTGCGCCCTTCTTTGAATGAATTTCGTCCAAGAGAATGGGGGCACAGCATGTCCAGTCGGCAGCACCCGGTGCTCCAATTCGAGCAAGTTTCCACCGTTTCCATCGAAGAGAAAAACGTATCGACGGAAAAATGCACACTAAAATGTGCGGAGTCGTCTGCCCTGATAAGATGTTCAAGTTTGCATTCAACGATGAATACGAGAGAGAACACCGCGTAGGATGGAAACGATTCTCGGTCGGCGCGGCAATGAATCTGTAAACGATCATACGTTCTGTTCTCTTTGAGGTACTCATTATTTTCTCGTTTCTTGTCTTTGCACGCGAATTGTGGGTTTTTCATTTTCTTCTCAGGTTGTCTGATTCTCCTCTTGATGCGCCTTCTGGGAGTCAGTCAGGCGTTGACCGCGCAAGTTATCTTCCATTGATTAGTACACCACGCATGTCTACAACAACGACCTCGGGTACAGCGTATTGAATTGGTTTTACAGCCGGATTAATCGTTGATTGGTCCACAGGTGAACCTCGACAGGGAGACCGGTGCGTTGGTGGATGGATTGGCTGTCCACACGCTAGTCCTCAGCGACAACGTTCCCGTGTTGGAAGGCGCGTTCAATGTCAACGGTATCGAGGTGAGCGACATGTCGGAAAGGGCACAGCCCAAATCTGTGAGAACCATACCTCAGTAGCGAGTGCGAAAGCAAGTGACCCAAAATAATGGTTTCCATTCTCACGTGTGAGGGTATCGTGCGATAATATATGCGCCCTCACGCCTTGACATTGCACGTACTCATGCGCAGCAGTTGGAACGTTTCTTGTTCCTCCTTCGCCGTAAGACACGGTCTAGGTGTGCAGCGGAGAGAGAATCCATCTGCCTTGTGTACCCCCTCGCATTGTTTCGCTATCGCCCTAAAAACAAACGCACCACAGTACTATTAATACTATGTTCGCGCCATCGTGTCAATGAAATTATTAGAAATGAGTAAGACCTGAGACTACACGATTAGGATGTTTCTTCACTGAAGTTCTGATCGATAGCGACTCCTCCGTTGGGTTCCTCAGTCATCGCTCACCGAGTTGTCCAGTGGAATAACATTTTCGATCAAACGATGTGAACGCGGTATCGATTCCCAGCTACATGGTACAACGTTCGGCAACCTGTTTAGCTCCAACTAGACTTTTCCAGCAGCGCATGGCACCGTGTATGGCGGTGAGTCCGGCCTAGGAGATCAATGCCAGAGCTTGGAGGGCCAAGGGGCCCAAGGCACACCTGGTGACGGTCAACGCTACTACTACTCAACGAGTCACTCGATAGTTTAATGCATTGGCCTTTCTCGGTCGGGCCCCACGATTCCATTTGCGGGACTCATCTACATAGAACGGCCAAGCTTGGCCGTAAGGAGCGGGGTCTGACTGCAGTGGGGTTGCCAACAACCACGTGGTTGTTTATTGTGTGCCCCAAGACGGGATATATTTTGTTAGATCGCCACGCGCATTGTCATTCAATCGAGAATGATACATGTAGTAATTGGGCGAATCGATCCCAACCATCGAAGTTGCAACGTACGCCACCCATTCACGGTGGAATTTGCAAATTCCACGAAGTTACATATCCTCCTGATCGTTCCCATTCTTTCTGGAAACTCCTCTCAGGCCACAGACGACGGCAGCGCGCTAATCATTGTCAACTCGGAATCGCAGCAGCTGTTCGCCGTCGACCCCGACACCGGTGCTGCAACTTTGATCGACCTCGGAGGCGAGCTCATTCCTGGAAGTGGCGATGGACTGGTGAGGGGATCCATGTTGCTTATTTGCTTTGGAGTGTTTAGGTGTCTGCTTGATGCGGCCCGGGAACAAAGTAATCAGTCTGAAACGTCTAGAAGCAGGCACACCGCATGCTGTCGCCATGAGCCCGAATGAATTACGAATTCTTCCCGATTCACCTGCTGCGCACGATTGGTTTAGGTGCTGCGAAAAAATACACTCTGGGTCGTCGACAACGCACTCGAACAAATTTTGGAGGTGAGCTTTCATCTGCCGACCTACTCTGTAGTAGCTGCAGCTTTTTTGCAACATTCCCAAGTACGTCGTCTTAACCCTGTAGACGTTCAGTACGAACGACGGCGATTTCGGGCGGAAATATTATTGGCATCGAGGCTTTTCACTCCGCTCTATGTATACATGTACCAACCTTCATTTCGCAGGTGGCACACATTCCACCGACTCCCGCCCTTCACGAAGTTGAAAACACTCCCACCCTTTCCACGGTGGCGGTGTCCGCAGCCGTTTGCATCTCTCTTTGGCTTGGAATACCAACTTCGCAGTCATCCTGTTGTAGTTGTAGTTGTTGTTGTCGTATTGATTTGGATCGAAGGGCGGGCGGACTGGGATATGTAAGTTTCGTTGCAGTTCGCTCAGACGTTGTCGCTCACTTGTGTTATTTTACCGGTGCACTACTAGGCTTGTACCTGAAGCCCGCGACTGGGACAAGCTGAAGCTCGCTGTTGTAGAAACTGCAGCAAATGTGCATGAGCTACTATACAGCAGTTGTGTAGATTTGAAGGGGGCAAGATGACGCTGGATTCCTGGACCACAAAGTCACATGCGCCTCAGCCCTCCGCAGCTTACGGTCAACTTGCATCAGCTGGGAAATGCTGTCATTCTCATGACGAATTGGGGTGGGTTTCGTTAGCGAAGGTGCATGATTTGGGTGACGTTTTCCCAGAACGAGTTCAGGTGGTGATAACTGCCTTGTGACCAAGTAGCTTACGAGGCGGATCTCTTTTTGCCTTCATATGTTGCAAGGAAGTGGTCCACGCCCTCTTCGATCCGAAAGGGCAACAATACGCTCGATTTGCACGCACGCTCTACATAGCAACCCACAAACAGCTTCTCTCGCTGCCTCCCTTTTTTCGGTTGCGTGTGCCTAAACAGGTGTCTCTCGCGGCGAACCTGTCTTGCGGGTCACTGGCCCCACGCGCCCTATCGAACCCCCTCTTCGACACTCAGACCACTGCCATGCGCAAGGGAAACTCTCTGTACGCCGTGAATGCCAAGTTCGGCGTGGCCGCAGAGGATGTCGCCACCACGGCGTACGAGATTGTTCGTGTCGACCGAGACAGCGGGGAGCTGGCGTGCTAAGTGCACCCTCCAAGAGCGCTCTTTAGCTGTTCACAGCAGTATACGTTGGCCTATATGTCGTATCAACAGGGTTTGGCGCACACACTCACTCAAACTAAGAACAACGTTTCTATCAGACCTGAATTTCAGGCTTGTCTAGACTGCTGCTTCCACTGGAGTCTACTTGGGCAAGCAGCAATCGTGTAGTCGTAAGCGTAATTATTCGTTCGGGTCAATGTCCGTCAAATAGACGGTTGCATCGAATGGGAACCTGGTGTTTCAGCGTTCAACCAGGCATTACTGCTGTTAGCGCAGATCGCTGTTTCGATGCCCCCAGAGTCGACCGAAACAGACACATTTTTGCCTAGTTTTTTTCCGGTTGATACCGTAGGTTGCATAAGATACCACATCCGTGTGACAACATTTTCGGGGGAACATAAGTTATCGCACGGGTGTGATATTCTGTAGGGGATGTGATATCTTATGTCACCCGAATGATAATGTGCACTCACAGAGCCCCACCAACAGGGGGTGTGATGCCGTCGCCCGTGTGATGAAGCGCGCTCACAGGACCCGGCTTACAAGGGGTGTGATAACAAGGGGGTGCGATAGCAATCGGGTGTGATAACTTCAACCGTGTGATGAAGCGCGCGCACAAGACCCGGCCTGCCGGGGGTCGCCCGTGTGGTTGTAGTGCGCTCACAGGACCCTACCTACGGGGATGTGATCATAATGTCACCCGAGCGATGCAGCTCAAAGGAGGCACCCACCTACAAAGGGCATTAATGGGTGCATAGCTAGGGTGGCTCACGCCACTCGGTCACGTTCATGCTTTCCCACGTGCATTGTCGCAGTATCCTTTGGAAATTCTCCGCATACGCATCGAACACGTAGTACCGATGAGTCATAGCGGTTGTGCCGGTGTTGTGTGCGACAAAGCGACAGCACACAGGTACCTGGACGACGCAACGACTTGCAAGACTTGCGTTCACCACTCAAGCTAGAACAGGGGGTATGATGACAACGGCGTGTCATGCCGACGCTCGTGTGATAAAGCGCGCTCACAGGACCCGGCCTACAAGGAGTGTGATAACAAGGGGGTGTGATGACAAGGGGGTGTGATAACAATCGGGTGTGATAACTTCACCCGCGAGATGAAGCGCGCACGCAGGACCCGGCCTGCCGGGCGGGTGTACTCATATTCGTGCATGCCGTGTCGTTAGACCATTGACCTCGCATCCCTACGAAGCCGGGACGGAGCACGCCGGCTTCCCACCAGACCAGGCTCTCACATCACCAAGCGCGAAGCGCCGTGAGATATTTGGCGAGTCGCATGAAGGGTGCTTTGCATCCTGCTAAGGGCGTTCGGCATCTTGTGCTCACTTCCTTGCGCACGGATTACAGCTGCGTATGACTTCATATATTTCCTGGTGCATTCACTTCCAGACACAGTTGTAAGCACTGTATAACTGCCTCGAGGGTGCTTGACCATTTTAACTCAACGTGGTGCGACCATCCCCCTTGCGCGGAGTGAGGGTTCTCGACCCCGCACAACATGACTTACTCGACCACCATTGTGGTTACCGCCAGAAAAAAAAACGGAGGTAAAAATAGAAAACGGTACCCTGGTTGCCGACTTCACGAAGTGAATTGGCTTGTTTTACAACGTCGTTGCCAAGTGACGAAAACCCAATCCCGATGATGGCAAACACCGAGGGGGGAGGGTGCCGGGGGTGTGATAGGGTCGCCCGTGCGGTTGCAGTGCGCTCACAGGACCCTACCTACGAGGATGTGATCATAATGTCACCCGAGTGATGCAGCTCAAAGGAGGCACCCACCTACAAAAGGCGTGAAGGGGTGTAAAACAGGTGCGATAGCTAGGGTGGCTCACGCCACTCGATCACGTTCATGCTTTCCCACGTGCATTGTCGCAGTATCCTTTGGAAATTCTTCGCATACGCACCGAACACGAAGTACCGATGCCTCATAGCGGTTGTGCCGGTGTTGTGTGCGACAAAACGACAGCACACAGGTACCTGGACGATGCAACGACTTGCAAGGCTTGCGTTCACCACTCAAGCTGGAACTACATAGGACGCAAGCAAGCGCCAGCTACACTCGACCAAAGCTAGAAACGACATCCAAAGAGGCCAAGCGACTACCGAAAGATATGAAACACAGGACAAATTGGCTCGAATCGCAGCTTTGGTTGACTTGACCATGGCATGCAACTACGGTACGTAGATACCAGACAAGACACTCAGTCTATGCAAACAACGTCCGCCCCCGGCAAGTCTGCCATGACCTCAACCTCCGGGTCATCGATACCTTCGCCATCTCCCGTGCTGTTATCGTCGTCGATTTCCAACACCTGCAACAAGTCGGCCATCGTCTCCCCCTCCTCCGATGGGCCAGCCTCCTCCACGCCGGCAGCGGCCGCGTCGCCGTCTGCACGAAGTGGTTTCCCTTGGGCGTCGGAGTTGAGCTCCTTGTTGGCCCACGCTCGTCTTCAGACCCATCGAAGGCAAGGGTCATGCCAGCCTTCCTCCAGCTCGAACGGATGCTCTCAGGGTCCACTTTATCCCACGCGTTCTTCACGCACTGCGCGAGCGATCCCCTCGATGGGGGCTCCGGGTAGCCGCGGTCGTTGCGCACGGCGTCGGGAGAGGCCATGTAAGCCTGGACATGTTGGACTCGAAGAGTTTGATGATGAGTCCATCGCAAGGCTGGATCTTGGGCGTTAGACCTCCGGGGACGAAAAACAGCGTTGCGTTGGACTCGTCCATCGCTTCCTTGCACAGGGCTGTCTTGTGCACGGTGTAATCGTCCCACGATAGCAGCGTGTCCGGCTGACGGTAGTTGCCCAGGACCCCCTCACGACCCGGGCGTCGGTTCCATACTTGGGGGGGCCAAACATCCCTGAAGGCGCACTGCGTGTGCCACGCCTTGTGTCTAGGGCGTACACAACACTCTAAGGGTATGTTACCCCCTTCTTGTCCTTGCCCACCTTCAACTCTCGTTCGACGCTGTTTGCGGCGGGGGGTTTTCCGGGCGCCGTGGGGTTACCCTTGAAGATGTGCAGCGGCGGAAGTTTGCCGCCCTTCATGTTGGCTGCAAGCACGGCAGTGATCCGCAACTCTTCCTTTCCACCGGTTTTGATGGCCACCTCTTTCTGACCGGTGTGCTGCAAACGACAAAAATAAAAAGCAAAAAGCAATAAAGACAGCGGAGGTGACGAAAAAAGGCCATTCTGTAGATGAGAATGACAGCTCTTCACGCACAAAGCAACATATTGGTTTTGCAGTACAGTGACGATGGAATGGTGGAAAAAATATAACGCGGCGTAAGCACAATACCAACGCTGTCTAGCCTTAGTGGCTGGACACTGAGTATGTACACGGCAAGATATATGGCATCACAATGCCCACTGTTTGCACGGAATGCCAAGAACCCACAACGACAGGCACATGATTCAAAGGACACTATTTGTACTCAACCGCCAAGTTCGACGTGCCAGCGGCCTCCATCCACACAGTAGTTTCACCCATGCTGTAGCTCTGCTCCTCCTTGAACAAAAGAGGTGGCTTCGAAGGCGCACTGCTCGCTGCCCCCCCCGTGCCCCATCCTCCCCCACCGTCGATTCCTCCGTGACGAAGCGCCCTCCATTCCTTGACGGCTTTCATGGCAATCTCAGGCCACCTGGAAGGGAGTTTTTGGCCTTGCCTGGTAACCGCCCGGAATGACAACCGGTTCGTCTTGAGAAAGCTCCTGCACCAGTGAGTCTGCTTGTTGCGGTACTTTCTTTTGCCCTCCAGGTCGTTCGCTGCAGGCCTCGGGCCAAACCAAAGCGAGTTGAGCGATACCGTCCTGTTCTTTGGTTTGCTTGAGCCATGAGAATCCTCACCAACACTCATGTGCTGCTGCAGACTGCAAGTCGCTCTGCGCACAACTTATTTTGATGCAGACGTCACCAAACTTCGCATGCCTGCCGCAAAACTCCGGCATATCCCTCCTTGGCTCTGCCCACGGGGGCTTGTTGGTGCACGATGGTTCTCCGCAGCGCGGTGCTGCAGCAGTCTTCTCAGCAGTAGTCACGCTCAGGGTGTTGGTGATTGGCGGGAGAGCTGCCTTTTCGGGTGCGGGTGTGTGTGCTGTGAGACTCTCAACAGTAGGTTCTGCTTCGCGAGTTTCAGCGGCACTCGCGGTGGCAGGCGCAGCCGGTGCTGTGGGAGTCTCAGCAGCGGTAGATTCTGTTGGGCGGGCCTAAGCAGTACGTGCGGTGTCATGCGCGGCTGCTGAGGGAGTCGTCCCAGCAGCCCCACGTATGTTCCCCCGGGTTGGGGCCGCCGCTGGAGTCTTACTCACTGCACTCTGAGCCGCGGGCTTTCAGCAGGGTTGCTAACTGCACCACCCTCCACGGCATTGTTGGCCTCCATGGCCTTTGCGAGTAGGTTGTTGCTTGTGATCTCATGCCCTCACGTTGTAACACGGTGTGAGAAGCGGGGGCTCCGTCGATAACATGCGGCCCAACTTCAGGGGTGTGGTATCTTCTGTCAGCGTTTGGTAACATGACCATGATGCTTTTTTCGGGATTGAAAAAAATAGCACAAGGGCGTGGTATTGTGTACGTTTTCCGACGGGGTGTGGTATCTACTGAAAGTGTGATATCTTATGCAACCTACGGCAGATGAAGGGATGCTAAAGCAACATGCAGCATTTGATGCATGTGTGGAAAACGACTTTTCTATTTCTGCGCTCTTATTTCACATGTTAGTGGCGGCTACGATCATGTACTGTTGTAAGAACAACAGGGGATTGGACGAGCTGAAACAGTCCTCGTACGCTGCATTTATCATGTACCATGGTATGTATTATGGCCGGCCGTGGCTAGCAATACTGACTCTACATACTCCGAGTATTGTGGATGCCAATTCTTCGGAATTATCCATCGTAGCCGCCTCTGCTTTAAGACGTTGCCGATACGGCTGTGTTGTCTTCATCGCGTCGCGGCCAACAACAAAGACACCCCTGACGTGTCCAAACACATGACGACCAAGCGCTGAGAGGTGGCACACACCTATGAGATGGCGGGAGGACTCATGATCTCACGGCATGAGTGGCACACAACTCCCTTTGTGGATGCGTCACCGCAGCAAGGGGGCGACCGTAGAAAAAATCATCCTAGAATCGAAGCTGGTTGGTGCATTGTGTATGATATTGTTGCCCCCTGCTGTATTGCTTGTACCGCTACACGTGCCCGGCAAGTCGATAGCCAACTAACGCGTTCATTTCATTCAAATACCCAACCTATTACCCCGACCACGACACGGGGCCCCATTATATGCTACGCAGAAGCAAGTCCCAAACTTGCAGCTCAAGCACGCCCTCTTGACTCCAAAGCACCACTACAGTTTGCTTGTTCGTAAATAACAAAAAAAAATATCGCCCGAGATTAGAACGCCTCATGCCGGCTTCTCCGGTCAACCGTAGCCCATGCATGCAAAACACAGGGCCCATCTATGTAGCAACGTTTGACTACTTGCTTCCTCAACACGCCCTAAGTTCGACTACGCTGACGAGACCCCGCGCGAAGCCATCGCCACAATTCGCCTCGCTGCCTTCATCTACGACAACGCCACACAATGCTTGGCCTGCCTGACCTTTCGCAGATGACTACAAGCATCACCCCGTGTTCCATTCTCCTCTAGCGACCCTCTTGCGGGTGGTTTATGCTGCGGCGGGAAGGAAGTAACCGTCAATGTCGTGATGGAATGACGTTGTCACAGGCTTTTCCAAAAACAGGTTTGGGACCAAACAACCGCCCCAAAACACAAACAGTGCTTCACCTGCGCGTTTCTGACACTGCTCCTGTTCGTTTCGAGTCGGACAAACTGCGTCCTCGTTGTGGAAGGGCGAAGCATAAGGTCTAAAACTTTCTCCTCCGAATAAGGGGGGGGGCGTGACATGAGGAGCCCTACCGTTGCACACGCTCCTTGGACACGAGTAAGCCACACCCGAGAACGCCATGCCCATCGAGGTGCATCTCACCTACCTGGTCATACTGCCATGTGTGAGCACGTTCAATTCACTCTTATCAGAATACTGGTCCATCGCAATACACGCCCCCCAGCCGGTTGGTGTTGCTTGCGCCCTGTGCTACGCGCTAGTTCCTCCGGGTTGGCATTTAACCCCCCCCCATCATTATCCTCCGGGCGCTCAATGCGATCGCACACATCGCTCGCTGACGCTTCGATGACACACACCGAAAACCCGAAAAAAAAAAAGACGACGGTATTCGCACTCCGAAAAACCGTGGAAAGAACCACCGGGGAAACACGGACAGGGGGGACCTTAAAACACGAACCACGGCATGCCAACGACACACCCGCAAGTCATTTCGGGACGGTTAGCGCGATGTTGGCTGCGGATCGCGTACAGGAATTCCGTGAAGTCAATATGGGACATCCCGCGAACAATCGAAGCAGAAGCAGTATATGCGTTACGGAAACGCTCCGGGAAAAATAACAGCAAGCATCCCGGGTCGACCCCCAGAGTCCATAGCAGAAGAACTGCGTCCGAAAAGACACGGGGAGGAAACAACGAGGCGGACGGAAAAGGCAACAGTGGGTAGGGAGGGAAGCGACGGAAGCGGCCGAAGGAAAACAAGATCGCGGGAGAATCAAGGTTTGGCGTGCGTGTACGCGCCGCCACCTACACTCGGCAGGTTCAAGTGAAAGAAGCACGTCTCAAAGTGAATGAGTGAGCCATCACAAAAGTCCAGTCCAGTCCGGCTCGAACATTTTCGTTGTTTCTGCATGCAGGAATTTTTCGATTTCCGACGCTCACGATTCCCATTCACCGTGAGTCATTTCGGAAACGGAAAACGACCCCCTTCCAGCAAGAAACTGAAGAAAATGGAGCACTTGTGTCATTCGAAGTTACAGCCAAGGGGCAGAGGTGGGAGAGAAGGGGTGGGTCGAACCAACATCAAAAGGAAGCCCTAAACACCAAAGATCAAACATAGTTGGCCTGACCACAATTTCAAAAATCACTAAAACACAACACACACGGTATTCGTGATTTCGTCCACGACCCTGGTAATAGGTGTGAAAGAAGCATCTACGCATCATCACGTTCGTCAACACCTTGAAAGCAGCTCGAACACGGGTCAAAAACATGCAACAAGACACAAGTCGTTTCACTTCAGCTCGCGCCAGCAGCGTGCACGGATTGGCGGACTCACCAAAGCCTATCACGCTCATCGGCATTCCCGGACCGAGCACTCCCGCTTGCTTTGCGTTGACGTCTTCCTCCACGTCGTCCACCCAAGCGATCATCCGGTCCAACTGGTCCAGGGACGCCACCAGTCTGTGCAGAGACAGCAGCCGCCTGCGCACGTGCGCGGTCGCACACGAATCATGTGTGTGCGTGTTATCATTGTTGCTGTAGCATCGACAGCGCAAAAAAAACGGCTGACCAATGAAAACACGTCATGTCAGTGTGAATGACTGACTTTTATGGGAGAGTCCACTAGCACCGACCGCGCTAACCAGCCGACCAACGAAAACAAGTCAGTCAGCCGCAGTGCGGGCAAGAAACGGAAAACGCTTCTACAGCGATGATCTGGGAACCCATGTGTTGTGTCTGTCGTTCTCGCATCGGCCTCGCCAGGTAGCTGACCAATGAGAAAAGACGGCGGTTTCAGTGCTTAACCCGGGAGGACCCGTCTGTCTCCTCCTGCGTGTGTGCACGTGCCCCAACCCGTACGAACGGCACTTGTCGCCGCNGCGTCACGCGCAGCGCGTCCACATACCTCTCTCGAACCATGTGGCCCGCCACCACTTCCTCCTTTCGGGCCTCCCTCTCCCGCTCCTTGGCCTCCGTCTCCGCCCACTTTTCCATCCCCGCGCCAGCGCCTTGGTCGCCGCCGCTATCGCCGACGCTGCTGCTAGTGCTGCTGCCGCTGCCCCCGCCGCGCTTGCTCTTGCCCGGCTTCCCCTTCCCCTTCTTCTTCTTCTTCCCCTTCCCCGCGGAAGAGAGTGGAATGTCTTCGAACCCTTCCTCTACCTCGTCGCCCACGTTAGCCCCACCGCCATCGGCTGCCTCGCCGCTACTGCTAACCCCACCACCACCATCGCCGGCGACGGCGCCGTCGGAGGAGCGCTTTCGCCTCTTGGCCGGATTGGAGGCGGCTGCGCCGTTCTCGCTGCCTCCTCCTCCTCCTGCTGACGCTCCCGTACCTTCTACGCTCCCTCCCGCTGGTGATCGGGCCCGTTGATCACGTTCGCCCCAGGCTGTATACGTTTGTTTTGGTTTAGAGCGGAGAAACGTGGCACCCGAGACAAATCAAGACTGGGCCACAAGGCACGTGTTCCCGTGAACAGAACTGAACGAAAGGGAAAAAGCCGCCCGCCCGAGACAGAACAGGGCACTTACTCAGTGTCGCCCCGATCAAAGCACCACAAGACAACCACACGGTAGGTACAACCAAGAGATGTTAACGACAGTATGAAGGCTACCAGATGCAGAACAGGTGAAGTACTAAGGTGTCCATGATTTGATACAATACGGGGCCTCGTGCAAGCGTTCCGAACGGGTTTTGCAAGAGGAGTTGATCGCAACAAAAACAGCAGCGACAGGTACGCCAACACTACAATAGAAAAAATCAGGGCAGGTGAACACCAACGGTACACAGCAGCATCGGCAACATCAACAGAGGAGGCAAGACCAACCCCCGCTAAAAAGCGAGAAGAATATCCACGTAACCCCCCCCCCCCCCCCCCCCCCCCCCCCCCCCCCNCCCCCCCCCCCCCTCCCGAACACATAATAGGCCTTCGAGAACGTCGACGAAGACACAGGACGGTAGACAACGAAGACGACGAGCTAAAAATGTGATTGCGGCTTCGAATGCAAAGACCGTGTTCATGTAGTCACGGAATGTCCGTTGTACAAGAAGGAGAGGGAAGTGTACGTGACTGAGCTGGGAAAAACAGATGGGACGTACAGGGAGATGTTTGACGCATGGAATAGAGAGGAAAGGACGGCAGCTGTACTGGGGCATAGGAGGTGGGTTGAAAAGGCGGGAAGGAATATCGTTAGGATAGACAGACTAGGGAAGACGTTTTTGAGCCACCTTTGGCAAAGTAGAACGGAACGATTGGCCATCGGTGATCAGTCCTGTGGGAACAATGCTCCGTCCTCTCGAGGACGCGTGGTTTATCGCTTGGTAGCGACGTTGTAGAACAGGCCGGTCACTTCGTGAGCTTGGCTACCAGGTGACCGTTGTTTTTAACCGTTGTTTTGTTTTTGCGGTAACCATGAATGGTGGTCGAGTAGACAATGTTGTGCGGGGTCGAGAAGCCTCACTCCGCGCAAAGGGGACAATCGCACGTTGTGTTAGATTGGTCAAGCGCCCTCGAGGCAGTGACACAGTGCTAACAACTGTCTCTGGAAGTGAAAGCACCAGGAAATAAATTAAGTCATACGCAGCTGTCATCCGCACCCAAGCACAAGATGCCGAACACCTTAGCAGGGTGCAGCGCACCCTTCACGTGACTCGCCGCATACCTCACGGCGCTTTGCGCTTGGTGATGTGAGAGCCTGGTCCGGTCAGAACCCGACGTGCTCCGTCCCGGGTTTGTAGGGATGCGAGGTCAATGGTCTAACGACTACGGCATGCACGAATATGAGTACCCCCCCCCCCCCTCCCCCCTCCCGGCCCTTCTGGCGCTTGTGTGCAAGCAAGTGGGGGTAATGTGATGCATGCAACCCCGCAGGTGTTTTCCCCTACAGTGCCAGGTGTCCCGCAGGCTGAAAGCAGCGTCGTACCTTCTGTCATGTCTGAACCTCCCACCGCTCCCGGAGTTTTGTTCCGCCCCCCGTGTCGATTTTTCCGCCCGTTGCAACTAGCGTAGCGCCTTCCACGGCGTACGGATTCCCGCCCGCTGCCAAGCAGCGTAGTGCAATTGTCGGCTACCCCCACCGCTTCTAAGAGCGTTGCACCTCCCCCCGCGTCCGGTTTCCTGCCCGCTGCTACCAGCGTAGTGCCTCCCACGGTGTCCTGTTTTCTGAACGCTGCAAGCAGCCTAGTACCTCCGGCGATGTATGGTGGTCCCGCCGCTACAGGAATGTTGTTTTTCCCTCCGTTCCGCAAGTGCCGCGTGATATGGAAATGGTAGCTGTCCACAGGTTGTTCCCGCCCGATGCTACAATTTTTCACGAGAATAGCGACGATGATGACCGCGGTTTCATCCCGATCACTGAGCAAGTGGACTACGAGTGGGCGTTGTACCTCCGAGAGCAGCGAGAAGAATCTGACGATAAAGACGAGTTTTTTGGAGTTGAATAACATCAGCTCCAAAATCTCGTATTTGTCGTCAGATTCTCCTCTCTGCTCGAGGAGGTACAATGCCCATTCATAGTGTCCTTGTTCAGTGAAGGGGATACGCCCACGGTCATCATCGCCGCCACTCTCCTCACCGATTACGATTGTGACCGGGCGGGAACAACTCGTGGACAACTACTCGCGGTTCATGAGGCTGTTTGGCATGAGGCGGAAATTGGACACCTTGGCGGAGTAGTCTCGCTTGCGGATGTGCTGAACGAGGGGTTGTTCCTGAGGAAGGTGTGGCCTATTATTTTGTCAGATGCGAGTATGCCGTGCATTCCGGTGTATGAGGATAATGGGGGCTATTCAGTTGGCGCAGAATCACATCAGCAACAGCAATTCTAAGCACATTGACGTGAGGCACAATTTTTTCAGGGACCTTGTAGGGAAGAAGGAGATTTCGATTTTTCACGTGGAGTCAGTATACGAACATGCCGACTTTCTCACGAAGGCGCTTCGCGTGGGAGATTTTGAGCTCCATCGTAATTTCGTGATGAGTATGGGACGTGAACGTTAGATTTGGGTTTATTTGTGTTTGATCAAGGCAACTGGGGTAGCGATGTTTGACATTCTTGCCTATGGCTTTCTCAATAGATGGTGTTCTAGGTTGGGGGGCAGTTAGATTGATATGGTTTCGAAGAATTAAAACTGCAATGATCGGGGATGACAACATATTTCTAGCCAAGAAGGCCATTGTTGCAGATTTGAGTTGTGTTTCGGAGTTTATTTTCTTGTGTTTTGGGGTTACTGAGAGATCATGCTTGGATCAATCAGCATGGGGGCCGATTGATATACTTCTAGCAATGCCAAGATAATGATACGGGATATTCCCATGGAATGAGGTAGAGCAGAATACCGGGTAATTCTTGTGGTACGTACCATGGATTCCAGGGATGTTCAAGGTATCCCTGTTGGATACGGCGTCGCCCCCCAACCGGGGCGATGTGTTTCTGTGCGTGTGTGTGTGTGCGTGTGGAGACGACTAAAACAAAACAATCTTTCTCCTCGGAGCGAGCCCGCCTAGTTGCCGGCACCCTATTCAACACGTCTTGCGACAAGCTACCCCCAGTCCGGATCATCCCAAACACTGGGCACGAGCAGTTGTTGTCAAAACTCCAATGCCCAAGCAGTGATTTCTAGCTTGGTGCCGTACGGTGAAGGTGGGAAGTGGAAATGATGTTCAAAGATCATGCACGACTTTGTCATGATGGTACCACAGCAATTAAGCAGCAGCCGCATGCGCGGTTTCCGTCAACTAGCGGGCAAACGCGATACACACCGAAAAACAATGGGGGCTTTGATGAGAGTTTGTACCAATTATCGTAGGGAGTGAGGCAAGAATTCCGACAAAGAAAGGGTCACGATCTCTAGACCATCCGCAGATACCAAAACACCGCGAATCGGAAGCCTCTCGGGCATCCTTGTCAGTTATTTTTTCTTGAGACTGCCGCGTACGATCCTTGCCTGTAGTCTTGGTGGGACATGACACGCAACAAACTGGTGCTCCACGAGAACAATAAGTATTACATGCAAACAATTGTACGTCAGATGTTGGCCGTCGTTTGAACGAGGCTGAAGAATCTTGGTGTGACCGGTGNGAGAGTTTGTACCAATTATCGTAGGGAGTGAGGCAAGAATTCCGACAAAGAAAGGGTCACGATCTCTAGACCATCCGCAGATACCAAAACACCGCGAATCGGAAGCCTCTCGGGCATCCTTGTCAGTTATTTTTTCTTGAGACTGCCGCGTACGATCCTTGCCTGTAGTCTTGGTGGGACATGACACGCAACAAACTGGTGCTCCACGAGAACAATAAGTATTACATGCAAACAATTGTACGTCAGATGTTGGCCGTCGTTTGAACGAGGCTGAAGAATCTTGGTGTGACCGGTGACAATATCGATCAGCAATGCCGCACAGACTTTTGCGCGCCGAAATATGCGTGCGACAGCTTTAACCTAACCACTTAGATGGAACGCGGATTTCTGTTCGATACGGTGTCGGAAGTGCTGAGGGGGGAGGGCTTGGCCCTTGTGGTTGCAGGTGGCAAGGAAGTAGGAACGGAGGATGGCAGTGTCGGGGGTCCGGGGGAACATGGGCTTGAATGGGGGGTGCCTCAGATACCAAAGTTTTGTTGACTTAGAGGCAAACATTCCTAGATATTGGGCATCGAGTTAATTTGGCTTGGCATGACGGCCTTTACGATTTTTTGTGTATGTCTGCATTTATCTGCAATTGTCGGAGGGCAAACAAAATAATAATAATACAGGTAAAATTGTACCTTTGACAAGAACACCGAACTCTTCGCTGTGGCGCGTTGTTTTACAGCAGGAGTTCTCGCTGCTGCTCTTCGGGAGTAAGACTCTGTGCTTTTCACTTGTGCATGTGCTCGGGACGTTATTCGAAGGAACCAACAGGATGACACAACCTACCGCATAAACCACGTTCGAAATCGTATGACCCGGGTTCTACTTTGCGTTAAATACGCCGCCGATGAGAATACCCTTGCTCCGTTATGAGCCAAGGTCCCTGAAGTGGTGAATAACCGTTCACCAGCGGAGGTAATTTCGCTCTTATTGCAATGTGGCAAGGAATGGCCAAGCGTGNTAAACATCTGCAGACCTGTAGAACTGTGTTCGTAGGGTCTCCGATCTTCACTGGTTGTATGTGCGTCAGTACCGTTAGGAAGATACCTATATCCAGGTTTCCACATTGCCCCCCTTGTTGTTCGCCGTAAATCCATCATTATTAAAGATGGTTTTCGGCGCTCATTCTAAGGTGAATGAGGGAATGCCAGTGGAATTG